TCGTCCTACTTTCTCCTTCCCCTGCTGTATCCACAAGTCTATTCTCTATGTGTCATCTCCATTTCTTCCCTGTAAACAAGTTCTTCATTACTATTTTTCTGGAACCCATATATATATGTTAATATATGATAATTGTTTTTCTCTTTCTGACTTACTTCACTGTGTAAAACAGGTTCTAGATTCATCCATCTCACTACAAATGACTCAAATTTGTTCCTTTTTGTGGCTAATATTCCATTGTATGTGTGTAATAGAATATATTTCTTCTTAATCATTAATATTCAAAGATGATAACAACTACAAAATATTCAATATGTCACATCAGTGAGGAACTAATACATTATTTAAGGGGTCAGTGATGATTGAATATTAGATCTCTGGCTAACCAACTTAATGAAAATATACATAAAAGGATTAAATATGTAAAAATGTTACTGCAGAGTATGAATCTTACTTGGATAATGGAAAAAACTGTAGATGAAAACTTGCATAAACTTAGTATTTGGAAGAGTTTCATAGGCAAATCAAAACCATGGTGACGTGTACATTTTTGCCTAGCAGATTGAAAGTGAAAGTGAAGTCCCTCAGTCGTGTCCGACTCTTTGCACCCCCATGGACTGTAGCCTACCAGGCTCCTCCATCCATGGGATTCTCCAGGCAAGAGGACTGGAGTGGGCTGCCATTTCAGATCACATGACAAAAATAATCACTGAATTGGAATGAGTGGAGGAACTCTTAGGCACTGATGTTATGAGAATATAGATTTTTTAAACTCATTTAAATATAACAATGTTATATCTGTAAAGTAAATATGTAACATTATGAGGACATATTATAAAGTACATATTTTATTATAAAAATTTCATCACAGAAATTTTTAACTTATGGTAAAATTATTAATGCATTTATTGCCTAATAATAAGGAACTTATTCAAATAACTTGGTACATTCTTTTTTTTTTCATTTATTATTTTTTTTAGTTGGAGGCTAATTACTTTACAACATTGTAGTGGTTTTTGTCATACATTGACATGAATTAGCCATGGATTTACATGTATTCCCCATCCCGGTCCCCCCTCCCACCTCCCTTTCTACCCGATCCCTCTGGGTCTTCCCAGTGCACCAGGCCCGAGCACTTGTCTCATGCATCCAACCTGGGCTGGTGATCTGTTTCACCCTAGATAATATACATGTTTTGATGCTGTTCTCTTGAAACATCCCACCCTCACCTTCTCCCACAGAGTCCAAAAGTCTGTTCTATACATCTGAGTCTCTTTTTCTGTTTTGCATATAGGGTTATCGTTACCATCTTTCTATATTCCATATATATGCGTTAGTATACTGTAATGTTCTTTATCTTTCTGGCTTACTTCACTCTGTATAATGGGCTCCAGTTTCATCCATCTCATTAGAACTGATTCAAATGAATTCTTTTTAATGGCTGAGTAATATTCCATGGTGTATATGTACCACAGCTTCCTCATCCATTCGTCTGCTGATGGGCATCTAGGTTGCTTCCATGTCCTGGCTATTATAAACAGTGCTGCGATGAACATTGGGGTGCACGTGTCTCTTTCAGATCTGGTTTCCTCGGTGTGTATGCCCAGAAGTGGGATTGCTGGGTCATATGGCAGTTCTATTTCCAGCTTTTTAAGAAATCTCCACACTGCTTTCCATAGTGGCTGTACTAATTTGCATTCCCACCAACAGTGTAAGAGGGTTCCCTTTTCTCCACACCCTCTCCAGCATTTATTGCTTGTAGACTTTTGGATAGCAGCCATCCTGACTGGCATGTAATGGTACCTCATTGTGGTTTTGATTTGCATTTCTCTGATAATGAGTGATGTTGAGCATCTTTTCATGTGTTTTTTTGCCATCTGTATGTCTTCCTTGGAGAAATGTCTGTTTAGTTCTTTGGCCCATTTTTTGATTGGGTCACTTATTTTTCTGGAGTTGAGCTGGAGGAGTTGCTTGTATATTTTTGAGATTAATCCTTCATCTGTTGCTTCGTTTGCTATTATTTTCTCCCAATCTGAGGGCTGTCTTTTCACCTTGCTTATAGTTTCCTTTGTTGTGCAAAAGCTTTTAAGTTTCATTAGGTCCCATTTGTTTATTTTTGCTTTGGTTCTAATATTCTTGGATGTGGGTCATAGAGGATCCTGCTGTGATTTATGTCGGAGAGTGTTTTGCCTATGTTCTCCTCTAGGAGTTTTATAACTTGGTGCATTCTTATAACAAAGTATTATTAAGGCACTGCTCTTAAGGTTAATATTTATTGACATTGAAAAATATTTTATTTGTTAATGAAGATAATTGATTACAAATGAGAAACAAGTCTCACTTACCTAATTATGTAACTAAAGCCTAATAGCAAAGACAGTGCTTTTCTTTTCTTTTCTTCACCCACAGAAAAGAATATAAGAATGCACACGCTTCAGGGGTTGGGGTGAAGGTGACAGAGTTTGTCTATGATATTGCCTGGCTGGAGATAAAGCAAATGTCCAGTTGAGGAATGCCTTCCTTTACACTTCTCCCTTGAGAAAACTCTGTTCTAGACACTAAACTCCATGTTAATTAGCAACTTGGAGTTACAGATCCCTCAGGTCTTGAACATCTATCTCCTATGTACTTCTCAGTTTTTCCTAATTTGATTTTCTCGAAGGACTACTGCTCAAGAACTCTTTACTTCTGCTGAGTTCATTGGTATTGGGCAGTGATAGCCACTTCAGTGAAGCAGTTGTAACCTGCTTAAATCATGTTGCCCATCTTCTTTTCTCCATGCTGACAAAGATATAAGGCAGAAGGAGGATGACCTAGACGACGGAAGAAACCCCTCTTAGTTTCTTTCATCACCACCTCTCTCTCCCTCTTGAGTGGCCTCCAGGTACATTAGCCAGCATGCACTGACTCAGCAACTTTAAAGACTCACTTTGTCTCTCCTCCAGATTCCCTTTCAGGAGTCCTTCCTCTACATATCTATGCCAAATATAATCATTTTTCATACCGCAAAAATAATCAAAAAAGGGCATGGCAAAAAGAAAGTTCTTGAACTTTTTGCCTAAGGAAAAAGATATTCCTCTAGATATTTCTTCTGTTTGACAGTAGTTAAATTCTGGATATAAGCTAAATGTTCTTCAATGTAAAAATGGATAAAGAAAATGAGATTATGTATCTATCCGGTACAGCCATGAGAAAGAAGGAGATCCTGCCATTTGTTACAACCTGTATGAAAATACTATATGGTACCACTTAAGTGCTGAATTAAAAAAAGACTAAGAGAGAAGCAGAAAATAGAGACTAGAATAGTGGGTTCCAGAGACTAGGGGGAGGGGTATATGGAACAAGGTAAGTGAAAGGATAAAAATTTTCAGTTATAAGAGTAAGTACTGAGGAGCTAATGTGCGACATGGTGACTTTAGTTACTAACAGGGTATTGTAGACTTGAAGGTTACTGAAAGTAGATCATAAGCATTCTCACCTCACACAGAGAAAAGAGTTAACCAATGTTATCTATGAGAGGTGATGAATATGTTAATTTTCTTGATCTTTGTAGTCATTCTGCAATATATACGTAAAGCATGTTATCATGTTGTACACTTTAAACACATACAATTACATTGCTCAACTTTCTTCAATAACATTAAAAAAACAAAATTTTGAAAGTGTGTTTATTTCACTTAAGATGCAATGTTACTTTTAAAAGTATATACACACACACACACACAAAAGTATATACACACCTGAATAAGCTTACAAATTCAGCTTTCATTATTCCTAACTGTTTCAACAAGATACTGATTTTAGAGCATAAACGGGACTTCCCAGGTGGTGAAGAGGTAAACAATCTGCCTGTCAATTCAGGAGATGTGGATTCAGTCCTTGAACTGGGAAGATGCCCTGGAGAAGGAAATGGCAACCCACTGCAGTATTCTTGCATGGAGAATCCCATGGACAGAGAAGCATGGCTAGTTACAGTCCATGGGGTTGCAAAGAGTTGGACATGACTGAGCATGCATGCTTGATGAGAGCACAAAATTTGGGGACACAGAAGACGATACTGTAGAAAAATAGTAAATGAAGAGGTATGGTGAAATAAAATCTAGACTGATTCTGTTCTGCAGAATGCAAAATTGATGGCAAAGACATATTTTGCCTTTTCATGATGTTACCAAATGCCAGTTCCTTGTCTTTAACTTAGTGGGTGGACTTAAGTGACTTTTTACCTTATTTTTTTTTTTTATCTGAAGACATTTTATCAAAAACTGAGCAAACTGCACAACTGAGTTTGTGCATCCATTTTTATGTGCATGTATCCCAAATATCTTTTTTTCATCAACTTTGAGGTATAAAAACTTGTGGTCAGTTGCTAAATAGCTTCCAAAATTATTTAGCTTTCCTCTCTGCTGAAATTCACCTATGTCTGACCCTACACACACTCTGATCAAATATTTAGTTATAAGAAACATTACCAGAACTTGCTTTGTCTTTGAGTAACAAAAGGCAAAAATATGTTCCATTTATTTTTCTGGTCTACTGACTCAACTGTTATTCATTATTTTTGCATTGTAATTTCTGTGGAAACAAACAAAGATCACTCACAATTCCTTTCATACTAGGTGCTTAAATTTGCTTCAGTGTTCCTCTCCTCTTTTCCTCCCACTTCTACTAACAGAATTATATAGCCACTGAAACTGAGAGCTTCTCTTTTCGTCTTAGGAAAATTTCCTTTAATAATAATTTTCAACAAATGGGAAAATAGAATGGGCACACACAAAAAAAGAGGATGGGTCAAATATTTATTGAGCCAAGAAATGATGACACAAAACAATGCCTTTGTTTTTAAGAATGCCTTTTTAATAATTACCATTTTTCCTTCTCTGTGAAAACTGACTAGCTAAGATAATCTGAGTTTACTTCCAATTTCAGAAGTAAATCATAATAATGTTTTTTCCCCTCAATTGAATTTTGAGTCCATTTTTCTCTTTTACAATAACAGACTAATGGAACAAAACAATGAAACATCTGGGGGAGATTTTATTTTGCTTGGATTCTCAGACCAGCCTCAATTGGAGGCCATCCTTTTTGTGGTCATTTTGACATCCTCTCTTTTGACCCTCCTGGGCAACACAGCCATTATCCTGGTCTCCTGCCTGGACTCCAAACTTCACACACCTATGTATTTCTTCCTCACAAATCTCTCGTTTCTTGACCTTTGCTTAGCTACCAGCATCGTCCCCCAGTTATTGTGGAACTGAAGGGACCAGCTAAGACCATCACATCAACAGGCTGTGCCATACAACTCTATGTGTCCCTCTCACTGGGTCCCACTGAGTGTGTTCTCCTGACCATCATGGCCTTTGATCGCTATGTAGCAGCCTGCAGACCTCTCAGTTACACCAGCGTTATGCACCCATCATTTTGTAAGTCCTTAGCAGGAATAGCCTGGCTGTGTGGAGTAGGAAACACTTTTATCCAAGGAACCATCACCCTTTGCCTTCTTCGCTGTGGACATCACCGTGTGCACAACTTCTTATGCGAAGTGCCTGCCATGATCAATTTGGCCTGCACTGACATCCATACAAATGAAGTCCAGCTTTTTGTGGCCACATTAGTTCTCCTTCTGCTTCCTGTGGCATTGATATTGGTCTCTTATGGATTCATCATACAGGCAGTGTCAAAAATTAAGTCATTCCAAGCTTGGCATAGGGCTCTAGGGACCTGTGGTTCCCATCTGCTGGCAGTGTCCCTCTTCTTTGGGACCAGCTCAGCCATATACATTCAACCAAAGAGATTCTATGGCCATAGCCAGAGGGAGTTCCTTACACTCTTCTACACTGTTGTAACTCCCACCCTCAACCCCCTCATATATACTCTGAGGAACAAGGATGTGAAAGGAGCCTTGAGAAGGATGCTGAGAATAGAACAAAATTCCTAAGGAAAAAGAAAAGGAAGCAGTGACTTTTCATTGAGGAAAATTATTGAAGAGACCTAAGATTGAATAACTACTCCCAAGTGACTGCTTACCTTTCTGTCTTACCAACAATATGGCTACTGTGGTTTAGAAAAAAGAAGCACATTTTGATTCTACTTGTATATCTCATGGAACTTCATCTGTGTGTATGTGTGTGTTTTATAAACCTATTCATACTTTCTTCTACTAAATGTCTTTAAAGGGCATATCCCAGAATAGGGAGATTTAGTGATCTACCCAATATGCATGTGCTTACATATTTGATTAGGGAATTAAATTGTGTTTAATATGAACCAGAAAATGAAAAAGTATATATTAGCATGAGGTGATTACTGTTGTACTTCTTTTGTAAAAGAGCCGTGGTGTGACATTGTTTAAAACATTCTACCACAGTATCCCAATTCTTTCAAGAAAAGAAAAAAAAACCTTGAATATATGGGCTCTTTTTACAGTAATGTACCAGATTTGTGAATCTATTTATTTATTATTATCCCACCCTTGCCTTCTCCCACAGAGTCCACAAGTCTGTTCTATACATCTGAGTCTCTTTTTCTGTTTTGCATATAGGGTTATCGTTACCATCTTTCTAAATTCCATATATATGTGTTAGTATACTGTAATGGTCTTTATCTTTCTGGCTTACTTCGCTCTGTATAATGGGCTCCAGTTTCATCCATCTCATTAGAACTGATTCAAATGAATTCTTTTTAATGGCTGAGTAATATTCCATGGTGTATATGTACCACAGCTTCCTCATCCATTCGTCTGCTGATGGGCATCTAGGTTGCTTCCATGTCCTGGCTATTATAAACAGTGCTGCGATGAACATTGGGGTGCACGTGTCTCTTTCAGATCTGGTTTCCTCGGTGTGTATGCCCAGAAGTGGGATTGCTGGGTCATATGGCAGTTCTATTTCCAGCTTTTTAAGAAATCTCCACACTGCTTTCCATAGTGGCTGTACTAATTTGCATTCCCACCAACAGTGTAAGAGGGTTCCCTTTTCTCCACACCCTCTCCAGCATTTATTGCTTGTAGACTTTTGGATAGCAGCCATCCTGACTGGCATGTAATGGTACCTCATTGTGGTTTTGATTTGCATTTCTCTGATAATGAGTGATGTTGAGCATCTTTTCATGTGTTTTTTTGCCATCTGTATGTCTTCCTTGGAGAAATGTCTGTTTAGTTCTTTGGCCCATTTTTTGATTGGGTCACTTATTTTTCTGGAATTGAGCTGGAGGAGTTGCTTGTATATTTTTGAGATTAATCCTTTGTCTGTTGCTTCGTTTGCTATTATTTTCTCCCAATCTGAGGGCTGTCTTTTCACCTTGCTTATAGTTTCCTTTGTTGTGCAAAAGCTTTTAAGTTTCATTAGGTCCCATTTGTTTATTTTTGCTTTTGTTTCTAAAATTCTGGGATGTGGGTCATAGTGTGAATCTATTTAAAAAGCTATTAAGGAAGAAAAAGGTTTCCTTTTAAATGAAAACAATAGAAATAATTGTTAAATAATTAATAAATTAATAATTTAATGATGTACTAAAACTTAATGTAATCTTGTTTCAAATGGACCAAGGGGCTACAGGGCAAAACCTTGTATTGAATCTTACTCGATGCTATATTTCTTCTTTCAGGGTCTCTGAAATTGTAAAACACATGGGTTCTGAAGCCAGCTTGGTAAAACCTTTTGTTCTTTACTTAATCTCTTTGTTCCTCAATTTAATCACCTCACAGGTTTGCAGTGAGAATTACATACATTAATTCATGCAATGTACTTAAAAATGACTCATGGCTCTATAAAGTGCTGAATAAATCTTAAAGATTATTAGATACTTTCGAAAACACTATGGTGTTCTATAACCTCCAAATTCTTCACTCTTCCTCCATCCTTCTTTTTTTTTTCTTTTTTTTTTTTTTTGCATTTCATTTTTATTTTTTTTTCCATTTATTTTTATTAGTTGGAGGCTAATTACTTTACATCATTGCAGTGGTTTTTGTCATACATTGAAATGAATTAGCCATGGATTTACATGTATTCCCCATCCCGGTCCCCCCTCCCACCTCCCTCTCCACCCCATCCCTCTGGGTCTTCCCAGTGCACCAGGCCCGAGCACTTGTCTCATGCACCCAACCTGGGCTGGTGATCTGTTTCACCCTAGATAACATACATGTTTCGATGCTGTTCTCTTGAAACATCCCACCCTCACCTTCTCCCAGAGTCCACAAGTCTGTTCTATACATCTGAGTCTCTTTTTCTGTTTTGCATATAGGGTTATCGTTACCATCTTTCTAAATTCCATATATATGTGTTAATATACTGTAATGGTCTTTATCTTTCTGGCTTACTTCGCTCTGTATAATGGGCTCCAGTTTCATCCATCTCATTAGAACTGATTCAAATGAATTCTTTTTAATGGCTGAGTAATATTCCATGGTGTATATGTACCACAGCTTCCTCATCCATTCGTCTGCTGATGGGCATCTAGGTTGCTTCCATGTCCTGGCTATTATAAACAGTGCTGCGATGAACATTGGGGTGCACGTGTCTCTTTCAGATCTGGTTTCCTTGGTGTGTATGCCCAGAAGTGGGATTGCTGGGTCATATGGCAGTTCTATTTCGAGGTTTAACCACCTGTAAAAGAATGAAACTAGAACACTTTCTAACACCATACACAAAAATAAACTCAAAATGGATTAAAGATCTAAATGTAAGACCAGAAACTATAAAACTCCTAGAGGAGAACATAGGCAAAACACTCTCTGGCATAAATCACAGCAAGATCCTCTATGACCCACATCCCAGAATTTTAGAAACAAAAGCAAAAATAAACAAATGGGACCTAATGAAACTTAAAAACTTTTGCACAACAAAGGAAACTATAAGCAAAGTGAAAAGAGAGCCCTCAGATTGGGAGAAAATAATAGCAAACGAAGCAACAGACAAAGGATTAATCTCAAAAATATACAAGCAACTCCTCCAGCTCAACTCCAGAAAAATAAATGACCCAATCAAAAAATGGGCCAAAGAACTAAACAGACATTTCTCCAAGGAAGACATACAGATGGCAAAAAAACACATGAAAAGATGCTCAACATCACTCATTATCAGAGAAATGCAAATCAAAACCACAATGAGGTACCATTACACGCCAGTCAGGATGGCTGCTATCCAAAAGTCTACAAGCAATAAATGCTGGAGAGGGTGTGGAGAAAAGGGAACCCTCTTACACTGTTGGTGGGAATGCAAATTAGTACAGCCATTATGGAAAACAGTGTGGAGATTTCTTCCTCCATCCTTCTTAACTTGTGTTTGGTTTGTTTGTTTGAAATTGTCTTGTATTCCACAGTGTCCTGTACATTGCGCTTCTTTTTCGTTGTGCTGGAAACACTGAGACCAACCAAAATCTCTCTTTATTTCACTTCTCTTTAGATCAGCACCAATTTTCACTTCTAAAGAACCAGTTTAGATTGTGTAATCTGTGCTGAAAAGAATATGATTGATATTTTGGGTCAAAATACCTGAGTTCAAAACCCAATCTATCAAGCTAATCAAGTAGATCAGTATTTAATACTTGAGTGGTAACAATAGTTCCTAATTTAGATGACTGTTGTGATAAGTAAACCTAAGTTTAGCCCATGGCCTGTTATTTATTAATAGAAACCACACAATAATTATGGCTACTTCTACACAACTTTTGTGATTTAAAACGTCATGATGACTTGATAGACCTTAGCCATTTGCTCTCTCTGATAGAGAGAAATTTTCACCACTTTCTAAAATTATTTTAATAACCTTTAAATAGACCAAAGTATCCCCATTCCTTTTCATAACTCCTCTAACTCAGCAAAAAATCTAAATATGAGTTCTACTTTATAGTTAAGTCTACCTGACCCTCATATGAATATCAAAGTCTTCTTAATCTTATTCCCTATTGTTATGTTAATCCTTTCCCTCCATTTTATTCACATTCCATTGCCCTAATCCAGATCTCGTATCTTGATTTTAAGTAAGTTTGCAAGTATGTGACCCTGAGCTGAAATGAGTTTATGGATATATTTGGTGTGGAGATAATAGTTATTTCAATGACTGTGAGTGCCTTCAGCTGTGTAATATGCTCTCTGCTTCACAACAGACCTTTACACCAACCCAAGCAGCTCATATAGTTCACCTTCTAGTCTCTTAGACACTTGTTGTTATCTATGACTGAATTTCTAAATCTCCAAACTGTTTCTTCAAACCTTTCTTTTCTCCATAAGTTTGATTATTCCATAAAATTATT